CCCTCCACAAGCCCGGGTCGCACAAACCCTCACCCAGCCTGGCCTTGAAGACATCCAGGGATGGGGCATCCACAACATCTCTGGGCAACCTGTCCCAGTGCCTCACCACCCTCTCTGGGAAGAATTTCTTCCTGATACCTAATCTAAACCTCCCTGATTTCAATTTGTACCCGTTACCCCTTGTCCTGTCACTACAGGCTCTTGTAAAAAGTCCTTTCCCAGCACCTTTGTAGCCCCTTCAGATACTGGAAAGCTGCAATGAGGTCTCCTCGGAGCCTCCTCTTCTCCAGGCTGAACAAGCAGAGTTGTTGAATCGGAGTATTCGTGTCGTGGGGAAGGGAATGCTGTGCTCTGGGATTCCAAGAGCTACGGGTAGCAGGCTGGTAGTACAGACTCTTTGGTGTTGTGAGCTCTCCCATCAGCCATCCGCAGATTTCTGTGGCGTGGACACTGAGTCCTGGTGCAGGAGAGCTGGCGAGCGTTCAGCCCTGTGGTGGCTGCTTTCTTGCGTCAGGTGAGCGGGGCGATTGGAGGCTTTGGACGGCCCGGGGAGGCAGAGGGGTAAAAAGAACAGCAAGCTGTAGAGGTTCTGGGCAAGGGGAGCAGTAAAACTCTCCTGCTGAGCGGAGTTGGCACCACACAAGCCTTGTGGCGAGACTACAAGGTCAGCTGGTGTGACCGGAGTGTTGGCTTGTACCCCGTGGCCCTTCCCGCCCCTGCACAGGACGATCTACAGGGATTGCCCTCTTTACCCTGCTTTTCTTCTCTTGATGCATGGCAGGGACCCTGGATTCTTGGTAACCCCAGCTCACTGCAGCTGAGTTCATTTTTGGAAAAAACTTTGGGTTTCTGGGTACGGGGCTGGCACTGGGATTAATTGTAGTAAATATCAACTAATTGCTGCTGCTTTTGGGTTGGCCAAAGGTGCTTTTTGGACTGCAGGAATGTTTCCCTGCTCTGTAGCGCGGGTCTCTCTTCCGCCCTCAGCAGGCGTCTGCGCCAGCTGCTTTGCTGGAGAGTCGAGGTTCGCCAGAGGGAGCAGCCGGCGTCTTCCTGCCGCGGTGGTTGGGTTTTGCTGGGCCAAGTTCATACAAAGGACGTAGGTGCTTTATTGTTATGCTCACGGAACTTCCAAGGGCTCTCCGTTCGCATGAGTGCCGAGTGTGGCGGCATGGATGCTTCCCGGGAGGAGAGCCGGCAGTCGGCAGCACTTCCGCTCAGCAGTGTGTTCCTGGGTATTTCGGAGGGAGAGACTGTGCCGTGGTATCGGAGCTGCAGCGCAGGGGCTGTACAGCAGATTAAATGATAATAGAGCCCTAGACTCAGCTCTTCCTGGGAGCGCGACTCAGTGCAGAGCAGGATTAAAGAAATCTCCTGGGAGCAGGCTGCTTCCCAGCTGGAGACAAACTCCGTTGCCAGGACTGCGTATCTGTGTCTCACAGCGGGCAGAGCTGCTCCCACGGTTGTCCCAGCTCTTGAGGAGGTTGACTTGGAGCGCTTTTGATCTTGTAACTGTCCGTATCCCTGACCGTATCCCTCTGCCGCCTGTGCTGAGTGGGGCACGGCCTCTCCTTCTGATGGGAGAGCAAGACGGGGCGCTTGGCACGGCGCTGTCTTCACCTGCCCTCGGGAGGCGGCCCGAAGTGGCCCCGGGTTGGGGCAGAGTGGAGAAGCAGTGACAAGAACGGCCAGCACGTAGGAAGACTTGCTCGCGCGCTGGTTTTCTTGCAGTTGTTGCAGAGAGCAGTGAATTAAGCACTAATAACTCGTCATCAACGCTTATAGGACCTGTTGTATATTGTAAATCACTCACTGTATTGTGTTTCACTTATTATTTAATGAGCTTTGGCCTTCATTAAGCATCACAGGTGAGCCCGTCCGCTCCCTTAGAGCAGCAGTTTGGCTGGCTTAGCGGGATACCAGGAGCTGTGCTCTGTACTGGGCAGTGGGAGGGCTCGGGGCCTTGCAGAGCTCGGGTGAGTGAAAGGCAGGCTTGTGCTCCCACTTCTCTTTGGGCAGGGGGGGCACTTGTGCTGCCCCTGTGCTTGTGGTCTTGTCTGCGAAGTCAGAGAGTGGACGTCGCTGTTTCACTCTGGGCATGAATGACATTAGCCAGGGCTCTGGGGTGGGGTTTTAGGATCATGCTATCCGCCTGGTTTTTACTGTTTTGAAGGGGGAAATGCCAGTGTCAGAGAGGAACTGGGGCATCTGTGAAACGTAGCGAGTGAAAACCGTACAAAATTAGAAGTGCAGCACAAATTAGAAGCATCTACAGTCACGTTTCTCTCTTTTGATGGCGTGGCTCATCTGAATTTTGTAGGATTGGATCCCTAATTGCAGTTCCAAACACGCGGTCGTGCCTAGGTACAGGGCACGTTTCAGGATCGTGGTTTGCTGTGTAAACAGCAGACACGTGTGCCGCTGGCGCTCGGCCCGTGCGCAGCTTTACGTCGGCCGGCACCCAACAGGTTACGCTTGTGTTCCCTACAAGTCTTGGGGGATGTGCAGGAAAGGGAAAATGCCAGAGGATTTGCAGACGGCTTCTGCATTGCAGCGTTGTGTGTGGGATGGGTGAAACCAGCTGCCCTGGGGGGGCGTTGTGTGGATCTTCCG